GCATATACGTGCACGTACAGCCGTTTTCTCTTATTTTCTTTCTTTTATTTTCCTAGGAAATGCTCGATTGTGTCAAGAGTATCGATTATTGAATTAAATTAAATCGTCGATCATTATCGATATTTCGTTGATGTTACGATTTAATTTAAATATTATAATTAAATTTAAAATTTAATTTTGTTATCAATTTAATAATTTAATTTATTTTGACTTAATGCCATTATATTATTAGCGTTACTCTGTTAGAAAGCTTTTTCTAGGAACAATTCATTTATTTTATATGCAAAAGAAAGCAATGAATTAAATTTCCAGAAAAGCTTTGGATCGTTAATCAGAAGTTTATCGAAGTACTGGTTTTGTGACCAATGATAAGACGAAATCCGGTCAAACCAACCGGATCGACTGACAATGAATGTTGAATTGAATCATTAATCAAATTTCGATTGGATCAGGTTGTCGAGAACGACACGCGATGGTCTGCAAAGTTGACCGCTGGTATCACACTCCACGAAAACAGAATACGCGGCTACGTGACACAATGTGTGGTTAGCCGCGAAGACCATTGATCCGCTCGATGGAAACAGAGCAAGCTGCTTCCCGCGGATTGTTGAAAGTCCTGCCACGAAAATGTAGGTCGGTGACCTTTCTTCGCTAAAGTCCTTTGCCCTGTTCTTCGCCCCCCGCTGTTCCATTGACTGTGACCGCAACTTGGCAAGCGACCAAAATCGGTTTCTTTTTTTCAACGAAACATTAACAGTCTACGTCTCGTGCGATTATTTTTCTTCTTTTTGGATCGCAAAATCTTTTTTTTAATGAAAATTATCCTTGCGTTGTTTCGATAATTGCGTTTGTTCGCCGGGAACGGATCGGCGAGTGACGCATTGAATGAATTTGCGGTATATCGTCCTGCGGTTTAGGTGGTCATTGAAAACTGTCGTTTTATTTCGAGATAATGCATAGTAATTTAATGTACGTATAGCGCTGCTTTCGCTAACTGCCTGGTTATCCGGTAGCTGTTTTGTACAAATTTCCATCAATGCGCAGCTGTCCCTGTTGCCGCCGGTGGCAGAGCCAATACATGGACGCAACGTTATTTCTGTTCCGGGGATATAATGTTAACTGTTGTAATTTCTTCGTAATCGGATATAATGAATATAAAATAAAATGTCGATTTATCTCTCGATGTATCAGTATTTATAGTACTCAGTATTCAGTAGAACAAATATTCAGTAGAAGAATACAACTTCGATTACAATACGTAACGACTTACGTAATTGTATATAATTATGTAGATATATAATTATGTATATCTTGTTGCAATCAAGTTTTATTATATATAATTACGTTTTTAAAGCGCGATAATATATTTTTTTTACATCAGTTGATTTATCTTATTTTTTATACACATATTTTATTTAAGTAACGAATTTATTTATAATTGTACGAGGTGCGGCGTTGCAGTATCTAGGAAAGAGTAATATCATGAAAAGTTGAATCTCATTAGAGTTCCTTCACCTTTTTTTCTATTATATTTTTCTATCGCTGTAAACGAGATACTTTCTCTTCAAAATATTTGAATTATCCTGCATGTGTAAATCGATATGTTGAAGCCGCATAAATAGAAATTTAATGAATGCTCGACTCTCGCAAATATTTATAAATAGAAGAGACAGAAATGTTTTATATTATGTCAATAAACAATATTTGTATCAATATAGATTGAATTACGATTCTCGGCGGAGAATCGCAGCAATAATGACGCAAAAAATTAATTCTAATAATCTCATGAATAATGTAAAGTGGCAAATTAATGGCTAATCTCATTAGAAGACATTACATAAGTTTTTATCTCGTTTCACTTGTAAAAGAGCATAATCTTGTTTGATCTAGTACTTGCTCGTAAGAAACTACAGACGTAGTTAAAGACGAGAGAGAAAAGTAATCTGTGTTGATGTGTATAAGCGGATAAAAGTGCGGTGATTCATTATGCCTATGTTAAAGCAAATTCTTGATTTTCGCGGCCGGTCGAGCGACTTGTGCAATGAGAGAACATCAAGGAAATATTCCGACAGCGAATAGAAAGACGATCCTTTCACGCGGTTCGTTGAATTTTAAAGCACCGGCAAGAGTAGCGAATGGGGAAACTTGAGGAAAACTCAGGGAGATCGTTGGCGACAGGTAATTGCATTGCAAAATTGCGCGCGAAGGCTCTTCGCTCGACTTGCGGCTCTTGCCCGAATCAGAATCCCCATTATTGCCTGCCTGTTCGTTTTCGGCTCAAGCACAAACTATTCTTATATACAAGAACGAAAGAATATTCTTCTCTTTCTCGTGTCACGCGAGGAATAGCCTCCTCTGCGCAAATTAAGCGAGGGTTTAGGTGAACGAAACGAATATGGTTGAACGGCAGACACGCATAAAGCCTTTCTTTGATTAATACTGCGTGACTGTGTTATAATCAGAATGGAATGATGGATACTCACGAAATAAAAAGAAAGAACTATGGACATTTTTGATTTGTTACGAGTAACATACATTATAGTTTTCGTCTCATTCTTCTTATAATACATCTGTAGATACAGAGTAATAATTGAGACGTTTATCGAAACTAAATAACTGTTACCTTATAATGAATGGACAGAATAAAATTACACTATTTTGCAGAAGAAATCTGTTTTTTTTTAGCCCGAGGTGTAAGAGAAATATACATTTATGAACTTGTAAAAATATACATCATAAAAAAGCCGAAAATTTAATTAACTGCATAGTGATATGTATGTTTGGAAGGCTTTGGCATGGAATTTCCATGAAAAGAATTTACTTGAAATTTTTTGGAAGCATACAGTTAGAACTACTTTGATATTAAAAAGCGTATATTTAATAGTTTTTAAAAGCGATTTGATTATTGAAATTTAGATTCAAATTAGAAATATTTTAGAAATTTTAATTCAAAAACATATAAGATCCGCAATCAATCAGCCGAATTATTGATCCTTTACAATATTTAGTTTTATAAGTTTGTACAGTATATTCTTTTACATTGTAGGTTAATTAAAAAATAACGAGTTTCTTCTATAGTATAATTAATATATATATTTTATTTTATCGATTCATTATGTATACACAAAATGTAATAATTATTAATTTCAACAACTTCTTGATTATCATTCTGCACATAGAAAGTGTGGAAAAACTGTGAATTTAATTTTTATAAGAATCCTCGCGTTCCAATTATAATTCCAATATACCAAATACCGTATCAAACTCGATAATAAACTATCGAACAATATTGCATTATCGGAGGCAGGTGCCAGAACATAGCCGTTGAGTTAGGTGACTGTGACGTTGAAAATGACTGCGTTTGCCACAAAATATGAATACCCGACTGGCGGAAGGCGGGGATAATTGTCTCGGGGTTTACTTGCAGACAGGTCTAATGTGATTGGTAGTTCCGGAGCGGACGTCGGAGGTTTCTCGGAGGACAATCGAGTTTGTGCTCGGCTGGCAATTACACTCTCCGCTCGTTACGCGGTTTGACAAACTTTCTCGCGGCGGCGAAAGACGCGCTCAGTCCCGCGCGCCCGATCGAGGGCCGAGGCCATTTTCGTTGAGTTGAAAGTTGCAGTAATTGCGGGGCAAAGTAGGTTTCGCTGCTCGGCTCTCTCGCTGCCGCGTGCCAGAACCGAACAATAACAAATATTAAACAGCGGCGGCGCGTTTCCACTCAGCCGTTTGCCTTTAACTCCTCTGACAATACAGCCTCGAAGCGTGAGAGAAAATTAGAACACTAAATTAATCCATTAATTTGTAATACGCATCGCTCAATTCTGAATTTATGCATATCGTTGATATAATAGAGAAAGAACCGTAATTTAGTTTTTTTTATACGTAATTGATTACTACATAATGCGAATATTATACTGGGTGCTTCCGAAGAAGCGCTCGGGGTTAGATTTTGATATAGCATATGTTACGTGCACTATACCAAAACCTAACCCCGAGTACCTCTTCGGAAGCACCCACTATTTACTGCTGACCATAAATTTAGTTACTTTATTGGAGTTTATCAAGTTCTCAGCCGCATAGATTGTCACGTTTAACTCCACGATAAAAATGACGCTCTTACGCGATAGTCTCTTTTATTACGGGTACTAAACTGTAACGACCCTTGCAAAATAAAAGAATGAACAGTCGTAAAGGAAGCGCCACGTACGTACGGATAAGAGGCAGCACTTTCGGGTAGGATTATCGTTATATCTAAATCTAAATTAAGTAGAACTGAGTACCCTCCAGAAATATTTCCGCCTGTTTTCGAGTAAATCGCGCAGTCTGCCTAGAATTTTATGTATGTATGTACACTTGGCAAGGTTTGTTTAAACAACTGACTGCCATGACTGCGTTTGTTTTACTTCACTCGGTTTCATTCTTTTTGAACAGTTATTTTTTCTTTACATTCTGTTGCACACCAGGCGTAATTTCTACGTAAAAGAACGTAATTCATACGCAATTCCGCCGATAACGATGTGTCCGAAAAGCGACGTACACGCAAATAAAACTCAGGCGTTTCGAGGCAAGCGAAACCCGTGTGCGCGTAACCCATTTATCTCACACCCTAATTTAATTGGTGCATTACGGAACATTATGCGTATACAATGTTTGCCTATGATGCGGCGGTTACAGTCATTGGTTTATGCACCTCTTGCAGCTCTAATGATATTTTACGATAATGAATTTAAAATGCTAGTCGAGCATATCGGCATATATGGAGAATACGCTTACGTTCTTTGATCAAATATTACAGGAGAACCTGTTAATAACATATCAGCAAAAGTAAGAATTCGTATATATATAATGAACATTTTATTTATACTATGTCAGCTTACTTGTTTTTCTCCACGAACTTATATTTCAAGTGTCCACGTTCTTTTTCACGTTTTCTAATTGTCTATTTTTCGTATTTACTAAGATATCTGTTATATCGTATTCTTTTTTTAATGCTCCAACACTCATATAAATACGTTCTCTGTGTAATTCAACGCGAAATTTCGTCTTTTTTATCGCAGAGTTGTTTTTAGATTAATTAGTCACATAATACGTTGGTTTTGTTTTTTTCTGTGGTATAAATACAAAGTGTCATTGGTCTGTGCGAGATAAGATAGTGTTGAATTTACGGCCTCAGATCATAGCTCCATTGCGCTTTTAATGTTGTCGCTGGTGACCGTCCAAGTGAAATATCGTCTTGTAAAATATGAATCTGGCTTGGTTCCATCGCCGACGCTTTACCGTACCCTATGTCCGGAGATAAAAAATAATTACAAAGTTTCTATCATCTAAAAAAAAAAGACAATGTTGTTTACACTTCGGCAAAATGACGCATACTGAAAACTAAAGCCTAAAGCCACATGATGGTAGCTTTGACATGAAGGCAACAATGTGGTCCGATGCGATATAGTACTAACGCCATCTCTTGAAAATCCTTTAAAATTAATGCACACTTCCAATATTTGACAAGATTGCGCGAATTATGCGCGTTGCCGCTTAATTATGCGCGAGTTTTGTCGATGAGATATTAATTTGCGAACAGCTTGCAAGAACCATTTTTCACATTATGCATGCTATACCTATGATATATTGCATATAAGAACGCGGAATGTGAGAGAGATTTTTCTTAGAAGTACTTTCGGTATCTCTTTCAAGAATTCGCATTTAAAATTTCATTTGTTTTTGTGTATAAGCGCCGATGATTCAACGTATCGTGTCGCGTATTTAGAAACAGCACGTAATTGATAATGTGAAGATTAAATGCATTTCTTATTTTATACTTTTCTTTTCCTTGTGGATTTAAACACTAATATTCCGCCAAGTGATAATTTGCAGTAAATAGTTATGTCACCGGCAAAAACACATCTTTAGCATTAATTGTAATTTTATTTACAAAAAAGATTATGTCTACGACACGTCTATAATTTTATCAATCTATTACTCATTATTATAGATATGTTAATTGCTATAGTTATATCTATTATATTACAAATTAATTAAATTACAAATAGGCATGATCTCTACACGCCGCGGAAAAAATGATGTTGTATCAACAGCATCAGTGTTATTGAGATAAAATTTATTGATACAACATCAATATTAATGTACAAAAAACATCAGATAATTGTTTTCATAATTTAAATATTTGGTCCAATAATATCCAATTGAATTAACTACACAACATATGCTTGTGGCAGCCCGTGATGTCGACGTTTAATTGAAGCCACTTTATTTTTTTTCCGTGTATCACTATCTTTATATTACGTGATCAATTAATTATATAATTCTAATTCAGATGCGTATAAGAAATAAACTGAGAAATTAAATTATTCTTATAGTTTAATACACGTGCAAAAATAATATACAATGAGTAAAAGTGATTAAATATCTTTATATATTCGTCAGATGCTCTTCATCAATTCATATAGCTGGTTTTTACTTTGTGTTTAAATAATTTAGCTTTGCTCAGACGAAGTATATTGCATTATGATTGCAATTTAGATCATTATTTGTCACATCAGCATTACTAGGCATCAACGTCGACGCACCATGAAACTTCTTATTTATAAGTGCAAAAATGCAACTAGTTTTCTAGAGATCGATCAGTAGGAGAATTCGATAAATGTATTCGAGCCGACTCAACTTTTCCGTTCAGTTTTTGTGTCCATTTCTTCTTGAATCTGCTGCAACGACTTGCCCTTAGTCTCAGGCATGCAAAAATAAGCGTACGGTACGGCGGTTATTAGTATCAAAGCGTACCCATAGAACAAGTATTTTTCCGTGAGCAAATTGTTTAAAATCTGATATGTTGACGTGGAGATGAAAGAGGATATCGCACCGACGATGCTGGCGAAACAGCTGGCTACGCATTTAACATGCGGCGGAAAGATCTCACCTAATACCGTGTTGGGTATCGAGATGATGCCGATGTATAGGGATATCTGGAAGAGCAACACCGAGAAAATCGGTAGAGGTTGAAGTTTGGCGGGGTCGTAGCCTGCGTCGAGAAGCTGATATTGTGTACTCAGGCACATTAGCGAGATTGAGACGGCCAAGCTGGAGAATATCATCAGAATTCGCCTGCCGAACTTATCGATCAGGAACATAGAGAGCGTAGCTCCGACGATTCCTGTAGCCGTGACGATAATTACGATCACCGACGGCTCGATGACGGTCACTTTGGCGTTTCGCAGGATGATCTCCATGTAAAACAATACGTTGTTTAGGCCGCACATTTGAAGATATATGAAGAGCAGGGACACGAGTATTTGCGCTTTCCATATATATGGAATTTTGTATTCCTTTATAACGTCCACGAAGGGTAGACTTTTGTTCTTTTCGAGAAAGAGCGTCAGCGCTTGCAGCTCCGCTTCCACATCGCAATCACGGTGATACCAGAGTATCGAGGCTCGCGCTTTAGCCTCGTTTTTTACTTTGACGAAATGATGCGGCGATTCCGGCAACCAAATGAAGATGATTATCAGTACGAAGCAGAGCGCGAAGCATATGGCAGCGCTTGTCGCCATCTTTAAATACGCGCCCATTATGCTCATCATTAGGTTGCCTATTGATAATCCGCTTACAGCTGCAAAGAAAGAGTTAATTCTTGTTATTATTTATATATAATTTTATATAAAATTATATTACACTTATATATTATCGTTATTATTATGTTTATCGCGATTGTTATATACGCGCTTTAACTTTTTACAATTTTTTGCTTTTTCTTTCTATTATAGTTTATCTTATCAGTTTCACAAATCAGAAAACATTATTATATAGGTGCAAATTAAAATTTGCATCTCTACTATATATAAAGACGAAAAATTTACATAACATTATATTATGGTTAGTCACTATGTGTGTGTTTAATAAAAAAAAATTGTTGGAAATACTAATTTTATTTTCGAATATAATTTTGTTGATTGTGCAGATTATTTTACTGTAACAGGAAAATATATTTACTAGAAATATTTTGCTATTTTGCTTTGGCAATAAATGAAATTTTTAGCATTTATATTATGAATTTTACACGATACATTTACTCGGTAAAATTTTTCAATAATACAAATTTTGCTACAATATTAAGTATAATAGTGAAGTTTGATCGTTTTCATATCGAGTATACGATATCGCGGTGATGACAGTTTTGCCGCGATAACAAAATCTCTTTTTTTTATATATACATATATGTAGTTATTCCACATTATCATGAAGGCTATCTACTATCTTAATATCTGCTATCAACTTGGATTGGAAATTTTGGATGGAATATTTTGTATAATAATGTAATCATTTGAAAATTAAGTGAATGGAATCATTGACCGGTTATCAGTTCAAAATAATTCGATATCAAGCACTCTTCATATTTTTAGAATTGTACTCTGTATTTATCCGTAAAAATTTATGCACGCACACACACACACACGCACACGAAACACGAGTACTGAACTACTGAAGCGCGTACCTAAGACGACCAGAGCTCCGCGAATGGCAGGGTCCGCGATCTCGCCTAGATAAAGCGAGAAGCAGCTGTACATTTTTCCCATACTGATGCCAGCTAGTAACCTGGCTGCGTACAGGTATTCCACTCGATTGGCTAGAAATATAAGGAGCCAGCAGAGAGTTATTGGCAAACTCGTCACAAAGATCGTTGTTTTAGTGCCGAGATAGTTGACAGCAACAGAACCAGAAATGGCGCCAATTAGCCTGCCTAGGTTCAATAGAGAAACTACCCAGGAAGCCTCGTCCATTGTTATGGGTATGTGAGATTCGGGTGAGGTTAGATATGCGACGTATGGTGAACTCCAAACCGATATCAGGCCCATTTGTAGCTGCAGAAGATTGACTGAAAATAGGAAAATTATTAGCCGTTGTTTAAAATTACTTTAATTTTAATGGATTACTATTTTCTTTACATATATGAATTCAAGTAGATATTTCTTTAACTATAACTATGAATATATTTTAAAAACTATATAAAATATTTTGATTAATATATTTAATTAATATATTTTATTGACATAGATATAATATTATTATTAATATATTAATATAAGAGACGCATACCTCCGATACCAGCGATCCATTGACACCATTGTATTTTCTTAATTTTCTTTTTTTCTGTCATATCCATCGTGACCTTCCTGTAGACTGCTTACGACTGTGAGATTGCTGATTGTGAGTCTTCTTGGGATATACTATGCTCTACTGAATCGTAAAAGCCATTTCATCCACGTCATTGAGATAAATAATGTAAACATTTTTTAATAAGCTATTAAGGTGTAATCTCCAGAAGAACTAGTGATTTCTTATCATTCATCATTCAAGTTATCTTAGTTTTACTTAAATTTGTAATATGATTATTAGAATAATAATATAATTAATAAATTATATTATTGTTTTATTAATATATACAACAGTAATGCATTTCTAATCAGATTAAGCGGATATTAAATTTTTATTCATTCCTGCATAAGTTTTAATCATTATTACATAACAATTATTTTTTTGTTAACTTTTAAAATTTAGCTTACATTACTTTTTTGTAGTTGTTTTCGTTTTTTTTTAGCTTGTTACGTGTACATTTACATATATATCGTATATATTTACATATATTTACATATCTCCATTACTCTAGATAAGAGAGATGCAATGCACAATAGCGGAATATTTCTATGTGAGAAAGAATATACATATTGTGTTATCAAATCAATTAGTACCAATGTCGTTAAAATCACTCACACAATTATTAAATCGTAATACTTATTAAATCGTCGAAGTGCACGATTTCCGCAGTGACAATAATTAATAGAAATTTGACATTGAACTACGCAAGATATTATATTTTCATTAATGTTTGCGCAAGTTGTTAAATAGAAGTAACATTTCAAACTTTTTTTTTAATATTATATTAATTATATTATATTGATATAAAAGTACACCCGCGCGTAAATGATCTTATTATTATACAAAATATTAAACAAATGACTTTAGTTGCATATCCTAAAGATTAATTAATGTTTAAAAATATCCTAACACAAGAGTACCAAAATTGCAATAGTTTCAGTATTATGAGTTTTCAAAGTTAAATATTGACACAGTCGGGTATTTACGTATTCAGAACCAGTTATGCGATATTTAGACGTAGTAGTCACTTTATTAATGTTTACAATGCGGCTAATCATTTTTCAATTGGCTATATTTTTAGTTTTTTTTTGTTTAAATTATATTAATAAATGAAAACATATATTATTATAAATTAAAATATAATTTAAACTTTTATATATATATATATATATATATATATAATCTTTATCGATATTCATCTCGAGAGAGTTTAAGAAGGTTTATTACAACTTTGAAATCTGATTTTATTTACAATTAGAAATATATGATTGTAAACAGGAAAATGTATGTAAAAGAATATCCGTATATGAAAAGGAATAATCTCACGTATCTATATTATTGTGCCAGTAAAGTCAATCATTTTACATGAGTTTTTAAATAATTACAACATTTTAAATTTTTGAATTTTTATGAAGCTACTTTATTAAACATATTGCTTGTCAATGATGTTATTAAAAAATGTTAAATTATTTTAATTGTATATTCTGATATTTAATTAGAATCGAATATCCTAATACGAAAATAATTTCACTTTAGCTTCTGTATTACGAACGATTAAAGTAGTCATTAGCTCATTAGCGAATAAAATTCACGTATTCAGGTTCATAATTTTGTATGTACCAGGCGTACACATTGGCAGCAATCATTCTATTCATCTTTAGAATTCAACTGATATTGATCTGTGTTACGCAACTGATTTCATTTTTAGCTTACTACATACAGATACTATATGTAAACTGTAGCAATTTTTATAAATTAATACGAAATTTAAATTTTCAATTTGTATGTACCTTGATATATATCAAGTCAGATTTCAGAGTCTTAAATTTTTTATGAACAATATAATATCAAGTTCAATATATAATATCAAGAATTTTTTATTGTAAGATATCTTGCGTATGCTGTAAATAGAGACGTACAACTGCGAAATATTTGTGCAAGAAAATATGAATAAAAACGCTGCATATCATATGGTTGTCAAAATATGCTATTAAGTTATAGCCACATAGACAACGATGCTTAGTAGATATTATACTTTTATTGATTTTTGCATACGTTTTTAGATAGCACATATTATTAATTATTCTTTTTTTTAATAAATTTTGCGACTCAGCTTGATTTTCTTCTTAATGTCCCGGTTTATTTTTTATGCGTAGATATTATGTAAGCTTGTAATTTATAAAAATAGTATTATAAATTAAAATAAAATTATAAATTATTTGTACTTATTTTGATTATGTTTATAAAAAGTTTAAATTTCTTTATTGAAATGTGATATTTAACCTGCAGGTATCATTCAGACAAGATATGTGAAATGCGACACAGCAAAATACTTTCAAGAAGAAAATAAACAAAATGATGCATATCGTATCGTCAAATTAATTAGTATTACATTTTTTTCTAACAAATATAATTACTCGCACAGTTATCAATCTTTAGCTTTTATCGATCTTTTATCAATGTTAGGTATTATCGAACCTTCAGTAGTTATCAAACACGATTACCACAATGCAGCCATTTAGAAGAGAGTAAAGTATGGTATTCAGAGACAGAGTTAAACATTACGGAAAATAATTAACAATAAAATTTTATTCTACTTTACGTACCGTTTGAATAATATAAAACAATTTGATAAAAATCTTTGTTATTCTATTTGCACACATTTTTAAAGAAAATATGTAATGTTGAAATTATTAAATTTTGGCCTTTTTTTGCGACGCAAAACGAGGAAAAGCATGTATTTTGATTAGTAATTGTGTAAGTAATTTTATTTGTTACAGAGAGTTTGGTCCCTGTATCTTTTTGAACAATAAAGAAAAAATTTCTCGTCTTCGTTTGTCCGGTTGCATGATATAAATAGCTGTTATCGCACTAATCAAATATTATGATAGTTTGACAAGTTTAACGAGTAAATAACTGTTTGAGAAATTTCATTTATTAATGATAACTCTATTGAATGCTTTGACGATATCGATATAATTTCTTTTTTTTTTTGCATAGATCTTTTGCTATTGCTCATTCCATTTTTTTTTTCTAAAATTTTATATGCATAAAGAAGAATTGGATTTCAAAGTCTTAAACTTTTTATAAAAAATGAAGAAATATATGTATATACGCCAGGTAGCAGAATGACGTCTAAAGACGCCTTATTGACGTTATTGGCGTATTATTGACGTTTAAAGACGTCATTAAGACATTATTAATGCGTCATTTGACATTATTAATGCATTATTTACTCTGCTACTTGATGAGCGAGTACAAATTGAAAATTAAAATCTCGTTTTAATTTATAATTATTTATAAATTACATAATTTTTGTTTACCATAAGCTAAAAAACGAAATTAGCTAAGTTAATTAATGAAAATTAATAACAGATGGATACTTAATATGCGTATGTATACTTAATGAAAGGATACGATTGTGTCTCGCATCAGATGCAACTACGAGGCGGAATGTATCTTATATACGACCCGTTTAATAAAATATTTTAAATTGGACTAAAAAGCGCGAACAAATACAAATGAATGAATTTACTTTAATTAATACGGATAGTGTTGTGAGTATAAACGAGAAATAAATATCGATGAATATGTTTCATTTTTTGTCGGTTTTATAAAAAAAATAATTCATTCTTGACCGTTTATTTTCCCTAGAACTTTTTAGACCCATCTTGGGAACATTGGATCTCGATCTATGCGTAGACAGATCGAGTTTCTAGAAACTATATAAGTTTACACATGTAATTCTACGCAACACAAATTTTAATTGCTTATAAATCTTATAATTCTGAAATCTGAATTATTGCGATTACGATACTTTTATATTAAGATCTTCGACTTAAATTTTAACTTCCAGACTATGTGCTATTAAAATAATTTATTTAAATATCTTTTTATTATACGAATTTATTCGAAAATACTTTTTTATATTAATTTTGACAAAATAGAGAATTTTTGTTTAGTTTTTTCTATCGCACACTTGAATGGATTTATAATATTTTGAAAATTATAATATTTATTTTTAAAATATTAAGTAATTTCCTATTTATCCTCTATTTATTATAATTAATTCTATATATAAATACATACTTTCGAAATATTTTGTTATATGTAATTTTATTGCATTTATTTTATTTATTCGATTTTTTTTTATTTATGTTGTATTCCTTCCTGACATTTTTGCAATATGGTATCAGTTTTCTTGTATTTACTTAAAAAAGTTTTAATAAAATAATTTTTCTTAAATTTAAGATAACGCATTAAATGTTTTTTTTTAAGTTTGTTCCGTAATTTGTGTTAAAATATATATTAAATCAAAACTTTTTACAATTATAAATGAGATATTAATTAACGATCATTTTTATTTAACATTTAAGTAGAAGAAAAAAGTTAAAAGAATGCTTATAATTTAACGATTAAAATACAAATGTATCTATTATTAAGTAGCTTTTATTATTTTAGTACATTTATGTGCTTTATATTAGTACGTGTTCTATCCGTAGTCAAGCAAACGCGTTAACATATTGAAGTTTTAACCTTTCACTCCAATGAATGGAGACCTATTTAGAGAGCTCTATCTATTAGAAAAATGAATAACGTAAAATTTTTAGAAACTATTTTGCATGTATACATTGCATTCTAATATTAACAGTAATTTTAATACGAAATTATATGATATTGGAATGCTATATTATAAACTAAGACATTTATAATAAGAAAAAGGATGTTTCGTAATGAAAGTAAATGCTGTTAAGTAATTAATACGACGAGAAAGAGATTGCTATTAGTTTATTAATATTACTAAAATTGAACTTACGGATATGTTAAGGATAACACAAACTCGACGTAAAAAGGAACAGTCGATGCCAAGCACGTAAGACGTCGTAAGACAAATTGAGTAACGCAATATGCGTTTAACTTACAGTTCTTGCACACGCGTCAGAATGAATGTGACAACGCGACTCGCGTGATAAAAAGTAATGCGGTAGCCAATCAGTCCCCCACGTTTTTAAAATAATAGATAGGTAATATTTGAGAGACAATTGGCTACCGTGTCGTCTCTTATCGCGAAGATCTTAATTCCTCGATATAACCATTTTATAAGCTATGGAAATATAACTTAAAGAAAAAAAGGAAATTTGATATACCGTGAATAATTCTATTGGGAACCAATAAAAAACAAAATAATTAGAAATAATAAATTAAGTATAAATTAAGTAAGAACCAAAAATATTATAAATAATAAGAGAAAGAGTTATTGATTTCCGATATTGATTCTTGATTGACAGATTATCTAAACTTAAATAGTAATTGACAAAATTACATTGGATTGGACAAAAGTTCTTTCCACTTTTTTTCAATAGATGGCATATGGAACAAACTTTTCGGAAATAAACTTTTTTCTTGGTGTTTCTCTTTTCTTTAAAAACACTGGAAATATCCATAATATATATTTATGGTATATACACTTATGTGTATTAATGAAATATATATTTATATATATTATTTTATTTATTATTATTTTATTTATAAATATATATTTAACGTGCAAATTTTATACATTAAATTGACTGAGAATTTGTATGACATACGATTATTCAACACGAAATTATTGAAATATTAGTGCATTATTTAAAATACATTGAACAAGACCCGTCACTGTAATCGAGAGAAACACTGGAATCTTCGTGTTTCCTCACATTACATGAATTACTTAAATAATGATAGGTATACCTACTGTTTTTAGATGGGAAAAAAAACGTTCGCTCTTATGAGACAGGATTAGTCATAGCTCGCTGAATAATAAAGTTGATATAGTCGGATGAAACTTTGAATATCTATTTTGTGAAGCAATTGTACAAATAAAAAGATTGTATCCATCTTTTAGTGTCATTGCGTCATATGTAATAATGCGGCGATTGTGATCGCCAATTGACTTCCGCGATGTTCAACTGACTTCGTGACCAATACTGCTGACAATAAACGATACCAATATCAGTATTGGTCACGAAGTCAGTTGGACATCGCTTTATACTTGACGCAACTGACCGATGAAAATCCGCCGTTCACGAGAATTCGCGTAACATACGAAAAAGGATCACTACAATATTTTGTTGTACATCACAGCAAATCAATGCGAATTCAGTCTATTTATAAGTTCCGTCAGTTTGTACAAAATATATATAAGATACGTGAGAATATAATCAATCTTGTATTGAAATGTAAACTTGTATTAGATTAAATTTCATGAATTAACTAACCTGTTACAGTTGCGAACCACTGCGGCTATAGTCGAGGTAGATCTTTAAATATTTTTGCCATTTTTAACTCACCATATGTTACACACACATATGTATCTGATACAACTAGAAATATAAGAAACATAGTTATCGCGTTGTTCTATGTGTTTGCAACTAGTTTCATTCTTAGGTTGATATTCCGTTTGTCAAATGGTAGATTTTTCGAACCTTCTAATTGGTTATCGGCGGAAGAAGGTTATCGAGAGTCCAGAAATTCTCTATCTAACAGCATGTCAGTATATTCGATAGACGTGTCACACAAAAATATTAGACATATATAATTGTGTGTAATATACGCGAATTTAAGAAATCACCAGGGACACGCAACATTTAGAATTAAGTCTTGAAAATTTTCGAAAATTTGTTCGATCACTGAGGCATGTCTGATATTGAGGAAGTTACGGTTATTTCTGGCTTGAATTGTTATTTTATCGGACACATCAGCAATTGTTCATACCATATGTTCACACATATCGGCAATTGTTTATTTCATTTGGGATACAGCGTGTATGTTTTTCATTTGGTGGCAAACATCATTTTTCAACAATGTAGGGATACGTCAGTTTCGCGACGAGTCGACTGTGAGGTATGCCGATAATACAAGTTTAATTCGAGAATAAATAGTCGTTATTGTGGTTTGCTCTGATAAACGAATTTGAAATAAGACACTTGTATTTACATGGATTAGGTATTTAGTGAGAGGAACATTTTTAAATGGGGGAAAAACGCGTGGATTTATAATTTTTGCAAGAATGTGTTCTGCGGCATCACTTTGACTTTCTAATTCAGACAAATACACACACGTGCCTTTGATATCTATTTAAAATTATATTGACCGTTTTACAGTGCAAGATCTACTCGATTTGCAAGTACGTTTTGTGTTTAAATGTGTCACTTTTTTCACGCAATACGTTTGCTGACTGACGTTTGCTGATTTTATATAAATAAACGTTAATTGTGTATAAAATATTTAGATTATAATTTAATTTTTATTTTTTTTCGCGTCGCGAAATAAAATGATATTTTATATAAAAATATGTTATTGTTCACCTCTGTTACGTTCTGTGGATCCCACAATTTCTTTCTTTCCGGGAAACTTAACCGAATTATCATTTAGATGAGAAACAAATAAACCAGGAATTAATTGTTGTCGATCAGGTTGTTAATCGGCGAGCGAGCTATGATCCCGACGTTTACTTTTCTGCACAGTTATTTTATATAAATGTGAAACTTATCATCCTTTTCCTTCATTTTTACTCTCTACGATTTCCAACTTTTTTCTACCGAGGATTAGTTGACTAACATTAGCATCTAGACTCATAGCGTTTTTTCTCCTAATCTTGAAAATTTTTCCCATTACCTCATGGCTCATTATAACGTAAACATTATGTTAACTATTTCTACGTTACATGAACTATTTCTATTATATATATAAAGTCCAGTTCCACAAACGTCGGCTAACTTTTAATCTTAGATTAACTCACTCTTTGTCTTCTTCTAACGTCCCCCTTAGAAAGAGACGAAGAGTGAGTTAATCTAAGGTTAAAAGTTAACCGACACTTGTGAAACTGGGCCTATAATGTCTTATTAAACGTCAATCAACTCGACTGGATCAACGGAACAGGCTGATGTTTAAGAAATTGGTAAAATGAAACATATCTAAGAATCTTAAAGAATTTATACTTTACCCCAAAGAAATTATTCCTGTTTATCTCAGGTAATAGAGATTAAGTCTCTTGACTTGAAACTGAACCAACAATCGCATCGCTTATTATTAGGCATTATACGTTGTTTACGTTGAGACGACCTGTATACATAGCATTGCAAAAGTGCATTTGACTAGTGCCATACGCCTAAGACCGTGTGAGCTTGCGAGACAGAGTAACTCTACATTGTCCGTCCACATCTTACTCTATCAATCCGTTCCTTCATTTCCAGAAAATCATAAAAATCCTGGAGAGTTTGGACGCAACACCTATATACAACGTCATTTTTTCACAGCATAATCGCTAACAGATTTTTCTAAAATCTCATCATAAAAATAAGCAATTTCAGTTTTAGCGAAATGTAAAGTTTTGAAACGAAATGCTCGAAAATGTTATGGTGTCGAACAAAGAGAATACTCAGACATGTATTGTGATATTTTTAACAGCTTGCAAGAAATCTATCAGGTTTTATTACGGTACACTGGATGCTGTTAATGGTACTCGGAGACCAATTGTAGGTGTTAAGTCCGTATACTGCAATATACGAATATAATAGAAAAACGATGATCTTCTATTTGCCCGTAGCAGTAAATCGTTAAATTGTAACATTCGAGTATTCTTTTACCACAAAAATCGCTGCGTACGTTAGATCAATACTAGTATTATTCGTACCTCTAAACCGTCAATTTCAGTTGTCGCCGTGAAAATTAATTCCGCATTTTGTCAAATAGGCTCATTGGGCGACCTCGTATCTTTTGTGTTCTTTAGTGTGTAATACGTAACAAAATAGGTTTCTGTTTTTTCTTTAAACAACGAAGCAAGAAAAAAGATAACATTTTGACACGAAATATCGTTCGTTTGCCTTACTTATATAGTAATGTGAACACTGAATGGATATCCACTTACGTAAACTTTGTGAGAGATGCCGCTCTTTCGTTTTGTATAAAAGAGGAGACTATTTATGTTTTTAGTAACGCGGAATTACGTCACATGATCTGAATTTTTATTGAATTTTATTAAATCTACAGTATTTTTTAATATCATTTAGCATATACACACACACACACACACACAAAATCGTCAAATATCAATGTTTATATTATTTAATTCTCCAGGATTCAATAATTAACAACAATTAATGTGAAATCGACGTAAGACTGATTTAGATTTGTTACCTGCTGAAAGATACAGTTGATATCTGTTTATAGATCGAAAAATCGTTCGTGTATTTATTCTCGTCATACGTACCGTCGAAAAGAACTCGTGTTTCGCTGATAAAATATATTAAGTTACACGCTTAGCCGCTAAAATCGGTAACAAATTTGTGTTGGATTTGGAGACGAAAATGTGTTCGCGAGACGAATCTCACAAGAGAAGATCACTTCTTGTAAATGGCATTGCTCAATGAAAGTTGGCATAAGAATAGAGGCAGGTTTATTACACACTAAGATGCAAAATATTTTGGCAGACTGTCACAGGGGCAATCGTTATGACCTCGCAAAGTCAGTCCAGATAGCTTACCTAAGCGGGAAGTGTAAAGCACTTAAAGATGACAAAAGATGCCTCTATTATGCTTTCATTGAGCAACGCCTTTGGCAAGAAATGACTTTTTCTTGTTAGAATGGCCATTTTCGGGACGCATCATTACGCGAGTAACGTCGAAACCATGGAAGCTGAGAGCTAACTCTAATGGAACGAAATAGGTTCACACGAAGGAATACTACCGATTTCCTTGGTTTCTTACGGGGGGAGGATAATAATTGTTAAAGAAATTTATGTAACTTACGGATATATAAAGGATAAAACTCTTTCGAAGTGGAAACGAGAAACAGTCGATGCTATCAGGAAGATATACATTGAGTAACGCAAAATGCTGCTTGAATAGAGAGAATAACAATAAGCCTCGCCCGATAATGCGGTAGCCAATCAGCCCTCACGTGTTTAAAAATAATAGAAAGGATATATTTGGCTACCGCGTCGTTTCTTGTCGAATGTATTTACCTAGACATAAAAACCATATTCTAAATGTTCATTCAAAGAAACAATCAATATCTCTTTTAATTTTTGTTTTGAGTTCACACATAAAATTTATTTTTGAATTTAAGAAAAAATGAAAAACACGTAATGTCACATGATGTCTTTTCTCTTTTAACTCAATGCTGAATTTTGACCGATTATTGTAATCCTGAAAATCGTATACTTTTTTAATATACAATAACCCATTTTTTAAATTACAAATAAATAATATATATGTTTTGAATTAGTAATACAATTTTAATAAAGTATTACGAAATCTCTGTTATGTGTGTGCGTGGGTGTGTATGTGTAAGAAGCAAGAATACTGTGAATAACATCTTGTATGTCGTGTTTTAATTATTATAAACTAAACTTGAGATTTTATCATGTGATTATTGCTGATATTTTTACTTTTTATTGTAAAGAAAAGTTAAAATGACAGTGGTCCATTTAAGTTACCTGAATATCCACGATTTTCGCTCAGGTAATCTTATCATTTCCCATTTTCGATTCTAAATTATCATTTATACTTAATCTTAAATTTTTGTCCCTGAGTTATTCGGATGTTTGTAACTAGCTATTTTTATATTGTAAGTATTTATTTTTACAATTTTTTATATAAATCATATTTTTATGTACAGTATTAACAAAAAGATATGATACATATCTTTTGTAACTGGATTCTTATAATATTAATTAATCACTATTTTTTACTTTGAATGAGTTAAAAAATTTGCTACGTTCGAGTATTTTCGGTTTCAACGCGTATCTCTTGTTGTAACCTTTCAGTGGGATTTCTCGTAGCCAACATGTCTTGAATTTCCTGTTAACACATTGGCAATGATTAATATTCGACATTTATGCCGAACCCAAAATAATACTTTCCATGCCCTGTAATGATATGCAATATGGGATCGAGTTACCTGAAGCGTTTTTCCTTGCGTCTCTGGCACCATGGTGAGCGAATATATCAAGCTGATCATGATAATCGCTGCATAGATCCAGAAAACGTACTTCTCGCTAGTGAGATCTATCAGTGGCTGATACGTCCTGGAAGCGACGAATGCGAATATCGCCGACGAGATGCTCCCGACGAATCCAGCCACGCTTTTCAGATTGGACGGAAATATTTCGCTTAGTATCGTGCTCGGCACGGGTGTGAATCCAAAAGTTATTAGCGCGAACAACACTAACGACAAGATCACCAGCCACTCGAGATTATCAGGATCGTAGTCGTAGTCCAGTAGAAAGAAATGCAAACCTAATAATATCATACTGACCATCACGCTGAAGGACGAGATTGCTAACAAGATTCTGCGACCACAACGATCGATGGCGAATGCGCCAGCCCAGCCGACAATTATACCTGAATAACAATTGGACAAAAATTTAAATCTTGCGAGTTTAACAGTGACATAAAGGAAAATTAAGTATAAACGGCTTAAAATTAGTACACATTATAGTTAAGATACTTCTATCAATATAAGATAGTACAGAATGAGGAAATAATAATTGATATTATTGAAGTCAAACATACAGATTGCACTGATGATGATTACAACAGTCGAAGGCGTGATGGACGTGACCATTGCCTTTCTCACAATGATCTCCATGTAAAATGTAATAGTGTTTAGTCCACTGAGTTGCATGAACATGAATAGCAATATTATCATGATAAAAGAGCGGCGGTTCTTCGGTTCTTGTAACTGCTCCAGTCGTTCTCTGATGGTCATCGCATTCGTTGACTTCACGAATTGTTCCACGGTTTCTAATTCGCTTCTTACATCCGGTTTTCGATAATACCATCGAATGGCTTGTTCCGCTCTAAAATTATGATAATAATACATAAATATATTATACATGGGCAATTATATAGAATTATATTATACAGAATATATATATGTACAAAATATTTCTCAATTATCAAAAGCATCCTATGATCATCATTATTTTATTCTTTATACACTTGCAATTATATTTTTTCTTGCTATATCTTTTTTATTTCTCTACGTCTTTTTATATTTTTCGTAATATGAATCCTGAAATGATAGAAAATTACTGAAATATTTGTATATTATTAAAAATACATTGAACAAAACCCGTCATTCTAAACAAATCTCTTTTTTGTCACTTTCAGTTACTTAAATAAAACTACAATTGGGTTGGAGAAAAACGTTCGCCATTTGAGACGGGATCCATTATGGCTCGTTAAATAACAGAGTTGATAGTTAGTTGATACAAATTTTAAATAACTATTTTGTGAAGCAGTTGATGTATAAATAAAAAGATTGTATTCACCTTTTAGTGTCATTGCGTTGTACGTAATAATACGGCGATTGCGGCAAGAATGGAAAAATAGCCATGTAGCATAGCGTTATTATCAAGCTAATGATACCGAAATACATCATTGGCATACTGGGACCCATTATATTACCGATGAGTGTGCCAATAGGAAATCCGTTGATAATCAGAGACACCAAGGCCCCGCGGATCGATGGCGCCGAAATTTCACCGACATAAAGCGGGTAGCAGCTGGTTATCATTCCCGTTGATATACCTAATATATGTAACAGATGTTTATTACAATGGCTCTGGATTAATTGTAAGTTACTTACAATTAGTTAAGTCTAAGAATCAGATATATTGGACGTGAAATTGTAAGCGGTTATCTAAACGGCAGAATAAAAGGTAATATGCGGATTGGAAATGAGTGAATAGAACATTAAGAATTAGAAAGCAACAGGATTGAGCAGCATGGAGGATATGATTGATGAATTGATTTATTCTGCATGCGGCTGGCAACTATAGCAAAACGGTTATAATCGATGCTGTTACCTGAAAATATTCTCGAGACGTACAGCCATATGGGGGAAGTGGCGCATATTATGCAAATCCAGCTGAAGATCATTGGCAGTCCTGTTAACAGGACAGACATCTTGCTGCCGACATATTCTAAAGTGAGAGATCCGATGACGGCACCTAAGACGCGTCCGAGAGGTAATAGAGAGGCTATCCAGGATCCTTCTTCGTCTGTTACGCGAAACGGCGGATTCTCACCGGTCAGTTGCGCCAAGTAAGGCGATGTCCAACCGAGTGCGATACCAATACTGATGGACAATAGGCTTACTACGGCAAAATGTTTTGTTATATATCATCACAGCAAATTTGTCAGTTTGTAGAAAATACACGAGGTGCATGAGAATATAATCAATCTTGTATTGAAATGCAAATCTTGCCTTAAAATGGATTAAATTTGGTGAATTAACTGACCTATTAGAGCTGCTAACCACTGAGGCCATAGTCGAAATAGAGCTTCGAATATTTTTGTCATTTTTAATCCGCCACACTGTTACATGCGTATCTGATAGGAATACAACTAGGGAAGATGAGAAACATAGTTATTGCGTTATTTTTTTATGATTACAACTATTTTTATTCTTAAGTCGATAGTCCGTTTGTCGGAAATGACGGATTTTTCGAACCTGCTAATTGGCTATCGGAGGAAGGAGGCTATCGGGAGTCCAGAAATTCTCTCTATCCGACAGCGAATCAGTACATTCGATAGACCTGGCGCATAAAATAATATTAGATCCATAATTGTGTGTAATACACGCGAATTTAAGAAATCACTATAAGGCACACGCAACATTTAGAATAAGTCTCGGAAAATTTCGAAAATCTGTTTGGTCACAGATAGACGTCCATTATATATTGAGGAAATTACGGTTATCTCCGGCTTGAACTGTCACTTTATTGGATTCACACACACATCGACACTCGTTTATTTCGTTCGGGCTACAGCATGGACATACATTTTTCGTTTATTTGGCGGCAAAAATCATTTTTCGACAATGGAATACGTCAATTTCGCGATGAGTCGTCTGTGACGTCTGTCGATAGTACAACTTTGATCCGAGGAATAAATAGTCGTCGCTGTGGTTTGCTGTGATAAAGGGATTTAAAATAAGACACCTGTATTTACATAAATTAGGTATTTAATGAGAAGAACATTTGGCGTTGAAGACGCGTATAATGGATTTGTAATTTTTCCTAGACCATGTTCTGCAAAAAAAGCGTCGCTTTGACTTTATAATTCAGACAAACACAAACGTGCCTTTGATATTTAAAATTACATTGATCGTTTCACAGTGCCACAAGATTTTCCCGATTTGCACGTACAAATTGTGTTTTAAAATGTATTATTTTCTCACTTTTTTTATGCAACACGATTGCACGTGACTGATTTTGTATATATAGACGTTAACCGCCTATAAATGATATAAATCAATTTAATTTTTATTTTTCTCACACTGTGATATATATTTTATATATAATTATATTATTGTTCACCTATATATTTTGCGTCAGTTTTCTACTGCGACTGTAATCGTGAATCGTCAAATTTTTCTAAAATCTGATCGAAAAAAATACGCAATTTCAGTTTTAGTGAAATGCAAAGCTTTGTAACGAAATACTCGAAAATGTCATGATTTCGAACAAAAAAACACTCAGAAAAATATTATATTTTTTACGGCTTGCAAAAAAAAAGCTATCAAGGCTTTATAACGTTACATTGATGCTGTTAATGGCATCGCTCGGAGACCAATCGTAAGTGCTAAGTACACATGCAATATACCAGTGTACTAGAAAAATGGCGATTCTCTATTTGCGCGTAGCAGTGAATTGTTATGTGCAACGTTTGAGTATTTTTTCATTATAAATATTGCTGCGTATGTTTGATCAACTGCGTATGTTTGACACTAGTATTATTCGTAGAGCTCTAAACCGTTAATTCCAACTGTCGCCGTGAAATTTAGTTCCGCATGATTACCGTAAATAAATTTCTCGGGTAACCTCGTATCCTTACGGTTGGTTGCGCTCTTCGACGTATAATACGTAACAAAGTAGTTTTCTGTTTTTTCTTTGAACAATGCCTTATGTAACGTGAATATTTAATACATATCCACTGTAAACCGTGAGAGATACCGTTCTCTTGTCTTGCGTAAAAGAGGAAACTTTTTATTTATGTTTTTAGTAACGTGGAATTACGTCACATGATCTGAATTTTAACTGAGTTTTATTAAATTCAGAGTAATTACATTTTTTTATATTATTTAACACACACACACTCTTCAGAATTTAATTTTTATATTATTTTCTCTCTAGGATTCAATAATTCACAACAATCAACTTGATATCGACGTAAGACTTTTGTCAGTTATTTGTTACCTGCGCCGAGAGGAGACAGTTGATCTCTGTTTATCGATCGAAAAATCTCCCCCGTTCGGATATTTATCTTCGTCATACATACCGTCAAGAAGAACTCACGTTTCGCTGATAAAAAGTATCAAGCCACATGCCTAGCCACTAAAATCGGTAACAGGTTTGTGTTGGACGATTTAACGGAGGCGAAAACTGTTGCGTTCGCGACACGAATCTGAGAACGACGATCTTCCGGACGCGTTGTTAGGCGAGCGATGCCGAAACGTGGAAGCTGAGAGCTAACTTAAATGGAACGGAATATAGGGTTACGTCACACGAAAGGGTACCGCCGTCCTCCTTGGTCTCTTACGGCTGGAGGATAATAGCTTTCGAAACCCAGTCTCGGAACTCCCGGTTCTTGTGCCGCGGAGTATTTCGTCGCGTCGCGTGGGTTCTCTTTATCTGACGGGGCGACAGAAGCGAATGAGAGGAGTGCGCTCCGCTGTTTACATTACATTATTTATAGTTGATAAGTTTATGACTCCTGACACTGCTACTTTCACGTCTACTTCATTCTTCCTTCCACGACACCCGCTTCGGCTTCCCCTGCTGCGCGCATGCTTGGAAGCGGGTGGTCGTTATCCGGGCACCCGGAACTTTCGTGAAACGTCCATTATGTTGTACTATATTGTGTAATTAGGGACTGTAAGTCAACGTACGTTAAATCAATTTTTATTATGTCGCGCGAGTCTCGCTATCGCTTGGATTCGCAAGTCTGAGTAAATGCGATTCTGCCCATAGCTGCATGGTGACTTGCTTATCGCGTTTGTTGATTCTCGGCATCAAAGTTGTTGCGTTATTTACCGCAATTTCAATTCAGCAACTCATATCAGCATATACAACGCTTTTGTTTTGTTTGTACGTATATGACGCTATTCACGCTCATTTCTTCACTGCGTGTTCGATAAAAAAATGTACGAACTTGGATTTACGTATTTGCATATTTGCATGTCAAATAAATATGTATAATTTTACGAGGTAATGTCATATGTCACGTAAACTCGGGTCAAGGAAACATTTTTATTTTGTTTATCTGCTATTGCTTATGAGATAGAGGGAGATATATAGCGAACGCGTCTACAGTATATTTCCTGTGAGTACGAACAAGCTAGAGGAACGTTTTCTAGGTAGATGAAGGCGGTATATTGCTACGAGCAGCGCTAGTGAATTACACGGGACTTCCTGCGCAGAAGGAACTTACAAAGTGGAGACTCGTGTAGTGCGCTAGCAGGCCGATGGGAGAGGACGATATTTACTTTACAAACCTTTAAATAGTTATTAAAAATATACGAATTTCTTGGTCTTTTAGGACGATTGAGGTAAATTAGTTTATTTAAAGCGACGATTTCTAGACGATATTTTAATGACATTAATACTAATCAAGGTGATCAGGAATAAATTGAAAATTTGGTAAATATTGCTGCCACGAGTTCTGCGATAAGCTTGTAAAATTCTCTACCCAAACAAATGCACGTGGTAGTCTCAACGTGACGTATTGATCTACTCATCGCGTTTCGAGTTTCGAGAGCAAGAGGAGATAGCGCGATCGGGCACGCTCGGACATCGAAAATCTCGATTCAATCGCGCGGTGTTCGACTGGAAGGTGCGATCGATAATAAGCACACCTGACGAAATTCAATTATGCGATTCCCGTGGGCGAGTAACCCAATTTGCACGTCATCAAGCCGCACACGGGGAAACCGGTTTGAAGACTATCCCGATGGTATACAGGAGTATACCTATACCAAATATTGAAGTTCCTGGATTGCACAGGACTGCCCTCGGGGACGCCAAATAACCCGCGCCGACCTCCAACTACGCAGCTACGATTCGTCTGAACGACGGGTGTAATTGCCTGTAATCTACCGCGACGCGGTCGTATTACCAGAGATCATTTAAGGGAGAGTACCGCCACTCGGCGAGGGTCCGCCAACATTATTGGCAAATGTTGTTCAAAAACAGTTTGCGAATTTATATTACAAATGGTCGTGAACGCTTGATTTACCTTATACATATATCAGAAGTTTGGTAGCGTACAGAAAATAAAACACTAAATTCCGTTTACGATGTAATTAAAATTTCATGTCAATATCAACGTAAAGTACATAATGACATTATGTACTTTACGTTGATAACTGAGCGTTGAAATTTATCTCTACCGTTATCTGTTTTTCGCTGTTATTATTGTTGCGTTGCGTCCATTGATCAGGTTCGCGAATTTCTGTCGGATTTAGTTCCGCAAAAATCTAATTAAGGATCGTGCATCCAATATTACGACCAATAACTATAGTCTTTGACACGTATACTTAAAATCTTTAAAATTTTTTAATTAATGTTATATCATTGGCTATATGTTAACTTGTGCAATATTACAGTTGATTGTACTTTACATATCTACATGTCAATTAGGCACATCAGTAATGTGTGTTGATGGTCCCTATAATATTCAATTAATACCAACGATGATATTTGATAATACGCAGCGTTTTATGTAACTCAGATAATTATATAATTCGTCATTACAACTGCACTGATTAGAAAGCGATTGCTACCGACGTACCAATTTCTTGGTACGACGAATCTCCTCGAACATAGATCACTCTCCTCTTCTCTTCATCTGCTCCTCCTATTTCCGACGGTCTGTCTTGTCATCAGGGTAGTTCTCGAGGTCTCTTTGCTGCCATCGTCAAACGATCATGATCAAACGGACCACAGAAGGCGCGATTCCTCGCTTTTGCCTGATTCACATCCACTTCTGCGTTGCTAATGTGACACACGTCGGCCGAGTTTTGTTCCATTCCATTAATTATAGTACTCAGTAAGATCCATCTTTTCTTTTATAAATTTAATAAGCGCGCGCGATTTTGAACTTTTAAAAATAGAGCTTCCTAATTTAATAAACGACCAGAAATAAAGGAATATAGTATACGTCTTTTCATATAATTTCTTTTCTTGTTGCTTTTTAAATAGCAGCATGATATGTAATGAGAATATTTTGTTTAAAAATTATTTGGAAGGTATTTAAAATGTACGAAAATATAATATATTAAACAAATACTCTTAATTTCTTTGAAATTGTGAAGAAAATAGAAAATTAGATTTGATAGACAAGCTTACTCTTCGAATTCACATATAAAAGACAAAAAAATCTATTATTATTACATTTTTTACAAAATGTATGTTGGATGATACTATCAATTACGCGATGCATGGTAAAAGCATTTGTCTTTTGATCCTAAATTCATCCAATTAAACTAGACAATTGATGATTTTCCATTCCAGAATTCGCGCGATAGCGTCTACCAAAATTTTTCGTGCGTCAGCAAATAATTTCTGCGTGCAAACGAATTGAAGATGGGTCATGCTTGTCTTTTAAAAGTTCCAGAGATTTACAGACGCATTTCTTTTCGCTGTATTAGCTGCCACACTGCTCGACATTCTTTCCGGTGAATCTCGGTCGGTTTATTCGTATTCGGCTGAACGTATTACATGCATTTTCCTATTCCAACCACTATTCGGTTGAGCGCAACGATGAGTAATAAGGCGTAAAACGCTATTAGATTGGCTGACGAGTTCTTCCATTCCGTTCCACGTCGGCTCTATCCGTTCTTTTTCTCGAAAGATCTTCGAGAGTTGAAAAGGCCTTCGACTCGGCCGATAAGAGAAACGGGAACTCGATGCTGAAAGTCATTTTCACGTCTTCGCGTTGCGATATTTCTTCCTTATTTAAAGCGAGGCGCATTTAAATCCAAATTACGTAATTCCCTTTTATAATATCGCTCGTTTTAATGATATATATATATGCCACGGAATATTTTACACATACATATACGTGAGCAATTTATCGCGTCGTGATCCTTACAATGATGAATGAATTAGTAACCGAACACCATTTCAACGTAACCGTTTCCTCAATTTTCTCAAATTAGAAATGTGGCTTTTTCCTAGTAATCCTTCAATTTTGGTGCCGTATGGCGACATCGGAAACCGATATTCACAGGATTTACTTATCTGACGAAAATACAATGAAAGGGAAAAAGAGAAAAAAAATGGAGAAAACAAAAAGTTGGGAGATTTCACGAGCAAAAGGCGCAGCGGGTCAACATCACCACGGTAATAGACACCGGCGGCAGGAAGAGCGGCGGTTTCGCGAAGGTGACGGCTGAGGTGATGGTAGTAGGGTGCTGGCGGTGCTGGCGCAGGGGTGGTCGGGTAGGTGGGTGACGGTAGGTCGACCGCGCGGGGACCAGGGGATAGCCTCCGGGTTAGGGGCTGACGGGTCGTGGCGGGTGGAAAAGGGGCGACTCCGGCAGTCAGCGGGTTAGAGCCGCTCCGTGCGGGTGAACGCGAGCCGCGAGCGTGTGCGCGCACCCCTCCGCGAAACTTCTTTATGCGGAGAAGCTCTCTCTCGCGTTCGTTATCGGTGGTGGCTCCGCGACTTCGTCCTCGACGACAGGGCCGCGGGGATGTACCGTGCTGGATTCGATTCGCGACCCTACCGCCAGTCATTGCCCCACAATTTCGCGCGTGAATTCTCCGTATTCGTTCCCTCCTTGTCAGGATGATCTCCGCGAAAGACGCTATTCCGCAAACGAGCCTGCAAACAAAAATTCGTGAATGAATTTTTCAAGAATCGCCGAGTGATTATGCGCAATAGCGTTGTGCGAATGCGTTGTGTGTAACTGTGTAACTGGGAGTGATTACTAACGTGATGGATGGAAGCTTTCAAAATCACGTGTCATTCAAGTGTCATCTGTGTGGAGAATTCGAGGGATTCTCTCGATTTCTCCGAGAGGATGTTTGTTATAATTCACGAGAAATATAATATGTCAACTGATAATCTCTCGAACGCTTGTGTCTATACGTTTTAATATTTTAACCTCATTTAAATAAATAATAGGGAAAAGAACACGTGATAATTTCTGCGTATTAAACATATACCAAGTTTCAAGTATTATCAGTTTTAAAAACGTGGCAAATATGTTGTGCCAGAAAAATTAGCACGTGATATTTGTTATTTCTGTAATGACATTAATTATACAATCACATATAACATTATGTTATCGATCGTGATACATGCTTGCGTGCGAAAATTGCAGAAAAAAATATTTGTTTATTGATGGAAAGGGGAGGAGCGCATATATAGTTCGACGATTCAAATACGTAATAAAATTACGAATTAATTTTTTCTTTTGCATATGATACTCCGGAAAATGCCAGAAAATCTGCTAAATCTATATGATGAATATGCGAATACGACTCTTCACCGACTTCGCGCTTGCAACGCCGAATTTTTGTTTTGACTAGTTTCAGTTACTCTTCGATTTTACTTGATTTTACTTGCCGTTTTTGTATGTAATGTCTGGCAGTCAGTAAATATCGATAATTTTGCTTGCGACTTCGTTACGTTATGTCGTTCGATGCGTATAACTTTGCATACGCACGCGCGAAACGTGACATCGTTTCGCAGATCAAAATTACAATTTCAACAACGAAGGCTTTGTAAGTCGTTCCTTCATCGGTAGTAGTATTTTTTTCCCCTTTTACAGTTTTCCTTTGCATGTACATCTGCGTTTTTCATTACGATAAATAGCAATTCCCCCGGCTACTCGAGATTCTTCTTAACTCGTAAGTACACGAACAAGATAACGGAGAGCCCTCGTAGCGTCGAGTTTCCTTCCTCGCGAAAACTGTAAGAAAAGCTCGCGTACTATTGAATTTTTTTTTCTTTTATAATAATACATTTTAGTGATGCAAAGTTTTAACGGGCACGTATTATTTTATACGATCATTAACGATAATACCTTATGAATATTTATTTTATTCGCGCTCTGAGAAGAACGGCAATTTAGATTAATTATCGACTTTTTATTTAAGAAACAATGCAGCAATATTCGATTATGACCCGTGATTGTGCATGTAATTATCGGCTAATTAACGTTTTCAACAATGAGCTCAATTTCTCTCTGAAACGACACGTTTTACGAGGAAATGTGTACGAAGCGTGGTTTTCATTGCTTCAAAATTCCGGGTGAACTCATCTGGTAATTGATTGCGAGGTGATGCTTATAACAAGCCGTAGAAAGGCACATTCAGCGTAATCGTCATTCTCGAACTGTTGTAGACCGGCGGAGATGCACACAAATTCCGGTTGGTCCCTCGGTTAGTGTAACGGCCGATAATTTCATTCGCAAGCTCATTATGGAAATTGGAACTGTTTCCATAGAAATTACATAATTAGAACGTGTCGACGATCGTGTCCCGGCGATGTTAAACGCAGCCGAAATTGCGAACTGAACGATCGAACAACGTAGGCATAATGCGCCGATAGTACGTGATAAAAATATTCTTGACATCGTTGTGAAACGCATTGACAATCTATCGTAAATAAAAATACAATCCCGCCATCGTAATTACTCGTTATGCAAAATGTTACATAGCGCCGAGAAACATTAATCGCTTCTGCCGCCGTCCCTTAAATGTCCGCAAGAATAATGCCAATCTCACGTGACTCGTTAACCGAGAACGTTTAACGTTATTGCGTCGTGAAGAGGGATAGGACACGATCAATTTTGCGAGGAATATATATTGGGTATATCCTACGGGAATCGCAAGTCTAATCGCTTGAGATGACAAACACACTCCGGTAAATAATCGATGAGAGAGTTAAATAAAACACAGGACAGTGTTATCTAAAGTTCAAGTATTGATTTTTGTTTATGTCGACACAACATAACGTAAAGTTAACAATAATTTTGTTATCGACATAATACAGCATGAAATTGATTTAGTGAAATGTTTCCTGGGCTTGTTTCGAGGTACGTCAAGTTTCGCGGTAACTATATATCGGATCGGTAATGCCCCTTAAACGCAAATGCAAACGCAATGTTGGCGAGTTGCAGAAAGAAAGAGTTGCCACCGCGTGCTATACGGCATGGCAGAGAGATTAACCTGTTGACAGGTGCGTAGCTCCGAAAATTGATTGCGTGCGTCGGATGCAGACGCCCGCGACCGCGCGCATCACGTGTGACGCTCGACGTGTGTGCACTTGACTGCAAGCATTTCCGGCTCGCTGTTGCATAATCGGTCTTTTACCGTCGCCGACAAACAGTTACTTTTGCTCTACGCGATCGTTTGACACGCATCTGGTTGAACACAAACGGCAAACAATTCGAGACATTTTTGCATTTCAATTTTATCTCGTTTTTCTTCATTTATTTTTAATTGAGTTTATTTCTAATTTGGGCAAGTAAAGTCCGGCAAATCATGAAAATTTGCGTAACCGCTACCATTGATGTATGGGGGATACTTTTGGCAGATAATTTAGATGAAATCGTTTTCGCCAAATGTTATTCAGCGTTATTCTGCATGAATTCGAAGCTTTGAGCAGACTTAACATCCCGTGCGAATTTCACCGAATTTTTTCAACGGCGGATTTTACGTCTGTTGCGTATCACGATATTGCGTTATATGTGTACCGTCGTTGTTTCCTTGAAAATAAAATAATTTGCTTGGTCCATCGCGCAATTGGGAACTGATTTATCATCTAATATTGAAATAGCCAGAATAAAATAAAATTATAAAACTAAAAACAACGTTCTTTATGTAAAACTGACAGTATTTTTAAGCATTTAAAATCCACGTTACGTTAAATTCTACACAACGGTGATAATCTGAGATGTACATTTACGGAAAGGTAACTCGAACGTTTTATAAAGTGTCAAAGTTTATGAACATCAAGAGACCACATCGAATTAACGATATTTCAAAGACCATTTACTAAGATTTCTCGTTGGAAAAAATTGATCGTTGACCCGATCAGCGAAAAACTCGTGAAAGTTTCACGAGTACGTGCCGCGTGCTTATTCTTTCTACGTATTGCTGATTTTTTTGCCATTGAAGACGTTGAAAACTTTTCCCGATCGACCGGAAGTCGTCGCGAGAAATGTGCTCCGCCTGCTCAAAGTGACAAGTGAAATCTTTCACCATCTGGCACCAGTTGGGCCGATGGAGATCCGGGAATACAGTATTGCCACACAATCGCACCGCCGGAGGATCAACTGTTAATTAGCAGACATGTATACCCACGTACACGGGGATAACGGCATGTGCTGTTATCTTCCTACTGTTCTCTACCTCGAACGATATCGTAAGTACCTTTGCTAATCGAGTCGACGAGCGGGTGAAACGTTGCGACGCAATACAAAGGGACTTTATTGTTAGGCAAGCATTAGAAATTACCACTACAATAATTTTCCTTTGCGCCGGCTCCTTCGAGTAAATTTCAAAGAGATAAGCCAAGTGTCGATCGTGGTTCTTGATATGTAAGAGTTTACACTCGCGTTGTAACAGTCGCGGCAGAGAGACGCTTAAACAGTTGGTTTCAGTCGGGTGGAGTTTCGAATTTTCATGGAAGGCCACTGCAATTATTTCTACAGCTTCAAATGTCGGCCTTTTCCGTCTGTCGCTGGTACGAAGCTTGCGGACGACGAAAGTGGGATAATTAATTCGGGAAGTCAACTCGGTGCTCGCGAGGAGTTTCCTACGGGAAGTTACATTTAAGCGAAACATACATTTCCGCGTGTATTTCCGGGGTATCAGCGGGATTAGCGTAACGTTAAGGGCGATCATCGCGCGCTGCGGACGGAAGGAAGCGAGCGTAACGCGAGGCCGAACTTGGATATAGGAAAAAAAGGGAGGGAGAGATAACGAAAGATTTTGCATAATAAAGCGGTTAAACGCGGCGCTGGGCTGCGCCTGGTTGAGGGTTGTACACGTAAATGCCGTGGAGTGCTTGTCGAATAAACAAAGGGTAAAGCACATCCGCTGCATCTCCCGGTGAAACTCGCTTTTTGTCGGCTGCCTTTCGAAGAAAAGCTTTATCGATCGGCGCGTTACCAACGCGACATGCCATTAACGTTATTATCAAATCGCGTTGGTCTGGCCGCTCCTGAACTCATAGCTTCAACCGATGTTTACGTCAATTTAGCAGGAAGATATTCTTGGTATATTTATTACTTGTCTACTTCGTTTCGATGTACCTTGCATATGTCAACACACGAGTGACGGAAAGCGCGGTTATCGGAGGATATTGCCACGTTATCATGCTGCGAGCAAATCAAACAGATAATAATTTCAGGTCCTGATTTACCTGCTTATTTATCTACTTTCTATTTGCTCGGAACAATATTGACAGCGTTTTTTTCCGGCAATTGGTTGTTGCAATTTCAAGAAAATTTCACTATGCGCGAAAAACGCACTGTCAATTTTATTTTTTCTCGCCTCTGCTGTCCAACCGACTCAACGCAGAGCCAGCTTTTTTGAAAAAAAGCAAAAAAAAAAAAAAAGAGAAAAAGAATTCGGAACCAATAAAAAAGGAACGAGAGATTACACGTTTCTAACTGGCGTATCGCTGTGATTTATCCGCGGCCTGTGATTTGTCGAATCGGCAACGACGAATCGGGTAACAACAATTAAAGTAGCGAGATTTAATATTCCGTCGTGCCGCTGCTGCGCGACGATTTACGCGCGGGCGACGACGTCGAAGAGCAGAACGGGAAATTGATACTGTAGCGCCGTGGCGTCAGTGACACTCGC